CAAACTGTCAGTTTGTGTTTTGTGTTTGCTGGCACTAGTTTGGCCTAGTTGGCTAGAAAGCCATTTATTCTTCGAGGTGTTCAGTTTTATTTCTGAAATTATGCAAACAGAATTTTTCATAACTTAAAAAATCTGGATCTGTATTTTCTACTTTTGAGATTTTTTGTCATAGTGGTATGTATGTTGATTTTTATTCAAATCTATTTGTTTTGATTTTTAAAAATTCATTGTTTTACTTTATTCCTGTTTTTTAAATTCTCTCAGTTTTGTTTTCTCTAAATGTTGACACATGTTTAATTTGTTTTAATTGTGTTTTTCATGTTACTATTTGAGATAATAAGTTCTAACTCCTTTATATTTATCCACTAGTAATACTCTGTTTACATTATTGTTTCAGGATTCCTAAAGGTTTTCTTTTTCCTTTTTGTTTGTTTGTTTGTTTGTTTGTTTCTTTTTTCGAGACAGGATCTCACTGTGTAGCCCTGGCTGTCCTGGAACTTGATCTCTAGACCAGGCTAGCCTCAAATTCACAGAGATCTGCCTGCCTCTGCTTCCTGAGTGCTGGGATTAAAGGCTTGCAGCACCACTGCCTGGAAATTGCTACAGTTTTAATTAATGTTTTCTTTCAGCACAGTTGCATAATAGTTGTGACAGTGAGATGGCCCAGGAGGCTTGCCACCAAGGGCCTTGTGACTTGGGTTTTCATCCTGGGAACCTGAATAAACGTAAAAGGAGAAAACTAACTCCTGAAATTTGCTCTCAGATCACTACATATATGCTTTGGCACACAGGCATGCATGGACAACACACACTAAAATAAAAAAATATAAAAAAGAAGAAAAGGTTTTGGACTTGTGAGATAGCTTAGTGGGTAATGGCACTTATAGCCAACTCTGATGACCTAAGTTCAATCCCTGGAACCAACACAATGGAAGTAGAGAACCGACTTTCACGTGTTGCCCTTTGACCTCCACAGAATGCATGTCCAACACCCTTCTGAATAGATACAAGTTTTTTTATGAAGCTCTGATTTTGGTAACATTTTCCTTTTATTTGCCTATTTCTCTTTAGATTTAGGGCATTGGTTGTACTCTGTTACATCATCTGCCTGTTTATAATGTCCTTACTGCTGGACAATATCCATTTGCTACTCCTGTAAGCAAAGATTATCACTGGTAGGTTGTATCTCTTTCTGCCACAACCTGATCAGCCTTCATTCTCTGTCTCGATTTTTGTGCAGATTTCTTAGACATGCACATCATCTGACTGGACTGTTGCATGCCAAGCAGCCCAGACACCTGCTCAAGCTCAGTCAGCATGTCTTCCAAAGCCCCAAGGCTTCCTTCAGCTGCCTGCTCCCTTCAAACGTGGCAGAGTTTCTCTTTGAAGCCGACTTTCTCACACTCTACCCTGCCACCAAGGTTACCCTCTCATGTTCAGGAGACAATTCACTGCCATTGGCTGAGCTCTGTAATAATGGAACACTGTAGCACCTCTTTCTTCTTCCTCTACAAACGTCTAGAAGGTCAGTTCTGCTCTCAGTCTAGATCTCAGAGGTATCCCCCTACACACACAGACACACATGCACACATACACACACACACACACACACACACACACACACAGTCACACATGCACACACATACACACATGCACACACACATAGACACACATGCACACACAATACACACACATGCACACACATATACACACATACATACGGACATACACACATACACACACGGTCACACATGCACACACATACACACATGTACACACATATATACACATATGCACACACAGACACACACACAAACACACACACTTGCACACACACATATACATATGTACATGCACACATAAACACACACCCACACCCACACACTTTTGCATTCCCAAGGGGCTCTGACTCTGTGGATATCTATTTTCTTGGTGTCTCTAGGACCTATCACTGGTGGGGCCCTTCCCCCTTATTCCTGCTCTCTTCCTATTCAATTGGTCCAGTCTTTGGGGCTCACTACATTCTGGAGTTTCTGTATCTCATAAGCTCATGGATTACTGAATGTATCAGTTGATTCTTAAGTGTTCACTTGTTACTTTGTATGGTTTTCAGAAAGGAAGACATTTGGACCTCAGCTGTGGCCAAGTTCCTTTTAAAAGTCAATTCTGGATTTTCATGCTTTGAAATATACCTTGTGTATAGAACAAAATAGACTCATTGTAACCTTCTTAATGTATTGCATTTAAGACTTACCAATGAGAGTTCTTTTTGCTGAAATAAACAGAATTATATTTTTAATTAATTAGTTTTATATTTCTGGAAGTTGAGGCTGGGGTCATGCACATTCTAGAATACTCCACCTGAGATGCATCCCTGAGAAGGAAAGTATAGGTGCTCTACAACTTACATGGGTGTTAGGCTCAATAAGGCATCATAAACTGAGAACATCACTCTGAAACTTTACCAGATCTACTGAACATCACAGCTTCTCATAGTCTACCATGCACAGGTTCAGAGGACTTAACCTGAACCACACTTGGCTAAAATCATCTAAGCTAATGAAACCTACTTTAATAGTAAAGTTTTCACAGTCTTTCACATTTGTTGAATATGGCATTTCTCAGTGTTCTTGGGGGGACTAGATCCAGGACCCTCACAAGTCCCTTACGTAAGATGGTACTGTATTTGCATAAAACCTACACATCTGTTTTCCTTAATTACCTACCAATTGATTGCAATGCCTAGTTTAATGTATGTGCTGTGTAAGTATCAGTTACAGTATATTGTTTTGAGAATAAAAAGGGGGAAAGTTTTAAGTTAGTACAATTTTTTCCTGAATATTTTCAGATCTGCAGTCAGTTCTCTGCCTGAAGCTCCAAACATGCAGCCAGCCCACTGTACCTATAACCAGAGAGCCCTGAAGGACCAGCAACTGTGGCCATAACTGTGACTGGAAGCTGAATCTGGCTCTTACTGCCTAGTAATGGGCCTGGGGGTCTGAATGTTCAGACTGCCTACTGAAAAAGATCCAAATGGTAGTTTCTGTCACAGCCTTGTAGCAGCACAAATCAAATGACAAACCATCATAAGCCAGAGATGTATTTCTTGGCCTGTAGCTTCCTGGACAGAGTTAGCAACATTCTATCAACATTCCTGACTCTAGACAGCTCCCTTTGGCTTCTGCCAACAGCACTTCTACTCCAGGATTTCACTCTGTATACCTCACA